TAGAATCCTAGATTCGAGTGAATGAGAATTACGCACAATGGATCTTGTGCTTACAAATTAGAATTACCATGTTATTATTCATAACCTAAGTAGGGAATTATGTAGAGTTCTTTAATTAAACTCGTCAAATGATGTGCTATCTCACTGATTGATTAACGTAATTAAATATTAATATTGTGCTTCGTGATTCTCTGGTATGTTACAAGCTATGGATTGAGATATAATGTTGGAAGCATAGTGATTGGTATGATGTGGTGAAATGTGATTTGACTTGTGTATTGGAAATGGTTGTGTCATGTGATTGAAATGCATATTGAATTGCTTGGGAGATGTGAGATCTAGTAATGGACCGATAACCCATTGTGATGGGGATTTGTTGCTCGATATTAGTTCGTTTTGTTGAGTTTTCGTGAATTGAGTAACTTGAATCCTGTCTTGTTCCTTCGAGCCGTTGTTATGCTTCCTGGACTTCCGTTCAGTTCTGTTAAGTAGTCCGGAACTGAGTTCTAATTGGATTCCGTTGAGTGATGGTCTGGAATCCCTTCTACTTCGCGATTCCGTTGAGTGATGGTCCGAAATCGTATTCTGATTAGATTCCGTAGAGTGATGGTCCGGAATTGTATCCTGATTGGATTTCGTTGAGTGATGGTCCGGAATTTCCTTTGGTGCCTTGATTCCGTTGGGTGGTCCAAAATTCCCTTTTTCAGAGATGTAGGCTTCGGCCAAACTGTGTCGCTCTAGCCCTGCATTTTGGTATATGATGTGTTGTTGATTGATGTGATTGTGGAATAATGTTGATTGTGATTATTGTCATTATGATTAGACTCGTTGACTATTTTGGCTAGAGAATAGCATGGTGATCCGTTGATTGTTTTTTTTTTTTTTTGAGATGTTGCATACTATGAAATGGAGAATCATGTGAAATCTAGTGATTTATATGAAGGATGAAGTGGAAAATATATGTGTGGGCATAGCATACCTTCGTGCATGACAAGATGATAATTGTGTATGGCTTATGGTTGATGCGTAGTGTGGCACCTTATGTTTTTTTTCACTATAAGTATTTTACGAAAAGATTAAAGTTTGACGAACGTTGAACTACGAATGGCTTGATCCCTATTGAGGGTACGTAGGCAGTCTAACGAAGAGGTTAGATGCAGCCATAAATTGTATGAAAAATGCTATGAAATTTGAATCTTGATTTATGCTTTGTACATAACCCGGAGGCGGGGTATGTTAGATGTACAGGTATTGGTGACATCACATGTCGATTCTGGACGTATGTTGGGATCGGGGCGTGACAACACCTCCCCTCCATCTCCCTCCCGTTGTCATACATTGAAAACCTTGGCGAGCTCTGCATATTCATCATCGCGCTGTTAAAGTTCACCAGCGGGAACACCCGTGCGTCTCGCTCCCCATTGTCATCATCGCGCCGTTAAAGTTCACCAGCGGGAACACCCGTGCGTCCTGCTCCCCATTGTCATCATCGCGCCGTCGACGGTAATTTAATCAACCAGCTCCTACGCAAGCTGCTTTCCAAGATCTCACAAGCCGTATCTTTCGATGCTGGCAGCTCCGGCAGCCGTGTCCAGGTCTTTTGCTTCGACCACAACATCCAACTCCTTACTATTGACAAAGATCTCAAGATCTTTCTTTAGGTCAAGCCTGGCCCGAGCGCTTATGCCAATGATCCTTACTCTACAGTCAAGTCCCTCACCAGTCTTCTCGATAAGGCTGATAACACAGTTTCCAAAGAGCTTATTCACTCTCGTCTACTTTGCAGCTACAACTGACCTTATGGATTCAGAGGTTAATGCTTCGGACCGCATTCTTCAGAGGGGATGCAACTTTTTCTTGTTTGGAAATTGCAATTTTGTTAATTTTTTGAAACTTAGTGCACAATTCCATTCACATCACATGTTTGTTTGTTTTCAATTTTCAAAATGCCAGGGATTTGAAAAGGTTAGGGATTTGCTCAATATTCTTTAAAAAAAAGGGTTGAAGATGAGTTAGTGGTAAGGGGTTGCAGCGGTGCGGTTCGGGGTTTTCAGGTATTTTATTAATTAAATTAAAAAAATTATTATTTTTGTCATGTGGCATAAATTAGGCACCCACGTGGCACAAATATGACAGCCACATCAGCTCTTAACAGACCAATGGATGAAAAATGTAACGGAGGGTTTATATTGAAATAAAATAGTAGGTGAGGTATGAAAGTGAAATGTTTTAAAGATGTTGTAAGGAATTGAAATCGATCTCAAACCTAAAGTGGTAAAGTGTAATTTACCCATAAAGATATGAATTGTCCTGTAATTTATAAGTAAATCATTACAGGACACTTCATATCTTTATCCACACGACATTATGTAACAAATTCGTTTGCCTAAGAAGAAGGTTTTGTCCAGTAAAAAATTTTCAAGTTGCGCCTACAGACTATGGGTGGGAGCGGTGCGGTTCGGTGCTGTTTCGAGTGAAACCGCAACCGAAACTTTTTGAGGTGCGGTTCGGTGCGGTTTTGAAGCCAAAACTGAAATGAAACCAAACTGTTTGGTTCAGTTCGATGCAGTTTTAAACAGTTTCGGTTTGGTTTTTTAGAAAAAAAATGTACAATTAAAATATACACCTATTTATGCATAAGACGGTCTTATTTTCCTCATATATTAATTAATGCATATGCAGCAAAAACAGCAACAACAATGCAGCAAAACTGCAGCAACAAACAGCGGCAAAACTGCAAAAAAAGAGGCAACATAAAATTTGGGAGCATCTAGATGTCAATCTTCCTCAAATTAAGGGATTAGACTTAATAGAAAATCCCATGGAAAGAGGAAATATAAAATCTAGCATCATCAGTCACCCTATATCATTTAATATCCATATGCAGCATCAGTATGCAACATGAGTCACCCCATATCGTCTAATACTGCAGCAAAACTGTAGTAAAAAACAGCAACTAATATGTACCAAAACTGCAACAAATGACAACTACTAAAATTGAGACAACATTCAATGCATCAATGGGTTTTGACTTTTGAGTTTTGAGAGAGAGATGAAGATGAGTTTTAACTTTTAAGGAAAAGATGAAGATGAGTTATCATGCCAATCGTTGAAGAGCTGAAATCTCTCCGTGGTGAGAGCCCTCCGTAGTGAGTATTTTCTCTCCTCTGTGAGAGTGATCTAGTCGTGGTGTCTTGGTGAGTCTGGCCTCCATTAATTGCGTCTCTCTCTTGCATGGTCGGAGGCTTAATGATTTGTCTTCTGAGGTTGGTGGCGTTTCAATTAAGAGCAGTTATAGCTTTGCTAGTCAGGTTCTTAACCATGGGTGGAGTGGTTCGCTTAGTGCTATCTACCCTTCATCCCAGCGTTGTAGCGGGTTCAACGCGCTTTCCAGCAAGCTTTCATTCTCTGGGCCTCATAGAAAGAAGTACCAATTTCTCTATCCTCTTTACATTTTCCTTCATCCATCTTATGAGTACGATTTCAACGGAAGATAGTGGCCAGGGACAATCGGCAATGGAAGATCTGGTCGTACACCTCGAGGAATCTTTGGAAATAACTCCGATGGAGAACGGCGTGAAACTGGTGGGAATGGTATTAAACGAGAAGCCTCTCAACAAGTGGGGGGTCAGAAACATTCTACGGGCAGCCTGGAAGGATATAGGAGAGATGCAAGTCAAGTGGGTAAAGGATAATCTGTATATCATTATTGTCCCTGATGAGAACTCGGCTAGGCAAATTCTTTCTCAAGTTCCCTGGACGGTGATGAAGAAAAATTTCTCAGTTAAAAGGTGGTCTCAGGACTTAGCGTTGGAGGAAATACAATGGGATTTGGTTCCCTTTTGGGTCCAAATTCGGGGTGTTCCGTTATGTCTCTGCTCGCCTTCGAATCTCACGAAGTTAGCTTCGGCTATTGGGCAGGTGGAGGAAGTGGAAAACCCGTCTCTGGCAAGGGGGTTTTTGAGAGCGAAAGTGATTGTTGATACCTCTAAGCCTCTACTCACGGGATGTTGGTTGCCCAGGAAGCAGAACCAGGAAACCTGGCTTGAATTTAGATACGAACGGCTCCAGGATTTTTGCTATAAGTGTGGACGAATTGGGCATACGAATATGGATTGTTCTTTTGAGCAGCATCGGGGTGGTGGAAATGGTTATGGGGACTGGCTAAAGGCTACCCCGATTCAGGAAATTATTGACCGGCCGAGATCAAAGTATTCGAATCCTAGCGGACGGAGAACGGTGGGCACGAAAAGGTCGATGGTGGGTGGAGGAGGATGGCAGCGCGTGCGGGACACGGCGACTCAGTCGGGTGAAGCTCAGGTAGTCAGTAAGGAGGGCCCCTCACGTATGGAAGAGGCTCGAGGTCCCAATAATGTTCAGATCTCGAGACTGACGGAAGGGTCTAGAGTTGTGGATCTTACGTTGGGATCCTGTCAATGGGCCTTAGCTGATCATCTACCCGAGTTCCATGATCAATTGGGTCGGGCTTTTAATCTTTTGGGCCCCCAACCCAGCAGATCTTTGGACTTTCACATCCCACTGGAGTTAAGCCTATCAGTGGAGCTTGTTCAGATTGAGGAGGGTCCGTATGAAGGTAATGGGCGGCCTGCTGATGGATTGAGATTGGCGCAGGACGAGGTTGCACAAGCTGTGGCCCACCTTAAACCAACCTCTGGTAAAAAAAACAAAAAGAGGCTGCTCGAATTAAAGCAGTTAGAATCAGGCCTCTCAGCCACGAAGAAAATCAAGAAGGGAGATGGAGGTATCCCGCGTCAGATGAAAGCGCGATTTCGGAATATTTTTGTTCCGAGTGGCTCTGTGGTGGGGGAGAGTGATTCCTTGGTGCGGCAACCTTTTCTCGAGCTTCATTCTACATGCCCATGCCTTGGATCTTACCCTGTAGGAAGTGGGGAATTGGAGCTGAATGCTAGGCATGAGCAAATGCCGGACGACTCAACTTGTGGCGGTGGCGGCTGGCCCCTAACAGCCGCACGGCAGTCATGAATTACCTGCTTTGGAACTGCCGGGGTCTGGGGTCGGACCCGGTAGTTCGGGCCCTCCGTGGGCTGATCAGGAAACATAGACCCTCTATGATCTTTTTATCTGAGACGAAAATGAGAGATCATAGGATTGACGGTATTCGTAGGCGTTTGGGATACTCATTTGGCTTCCATGTTTCGCCGATTGGGCGGGCTGGGGGTTTAAGTTTATGGTGGATTGAGTCGATGAATGTTAACATTCTCTTTTCTTCTGCTCACATTATTGATGTGTGTTTCTGTTTGGAGGATAGTCTCTCTTGGGTGCGCTGTACTTTTGTTTATGGTACTCCGTACAGACGAGAGAAGCTGGATTTCTGGAATTGGATGTCTAACTATTTTGGTCCGACGGATATTCCCTGGCTTTGTGGTGGGGACTTCAATGAGTTTGTGTGGGACCATGAGAAATCGGGGGGAGCCAGTGTCCTGTATAATAGACCGGGGTATTTGCATAACTTTCTGAATGCAGCTGCTTTGGTGGATCTGGGGTTCAATGGGCCGAAGTTCACATGGCGTGGTAGGCGGTATGGTAATCTTGTAGAGGAAAGGCTTGATAGGGCGGCTGCTAACGTTCTTTGGCAAAATCTTTGGCCCCATACTTTTGTTCTTCACGAGACGGCGCTTTGCTCGGATCATTGCCCAATCGTGGTCCTATCCCAGCCCGCTACTCGTAGGGGTAAACGGCTATTCCGTTTTGAGGCGTTCTGGGCTAAGGAAGAGGATTGTAGGGCTCTGGTGGCTAAGTGCTGGGGCTCTCCAGGTAGGGGGCGGTGGATTGACTCGTGGAATCTGAAACTTTCAATATGCAAATCTCATCTTATCAGTTGAAGTCGGAATAAGTTCAACCGGCGTGGCTTGGAGATTGAGGAGTTGGTGCAGCAACTGGATTCGCTTCAGCATCATTGGGAGGATAATGCGGAAGAGATACATGTTGTGTCTAATCGCATTGATCAGTTGCGGGAGCAGAAAGAACTTTACTGGATGCAACGGTCTAGAGTTAACTGGTTACGGGAGGGCGATGCTAATACTGCTTTTTTCCATCGTACGACTCTCCAACGGAGACGGGTTAATTCCATTGTTAAGTTGAAGGATGTGGATGGCTCTTGGGTGGATGATAGTCGGAGGGTTCCCGTTTTAGTGGATGAGCATTTAAAATCCCTTTATACTTCTGTGGGTTGTCGGGATTGGGGTGATATTCTCAACTGTCTGGAACCTCTGGTTTCTGAGTTAATGAATAATGATCTCATCAAGCCTGTTTCTGAGGAGGAGATTAAGGTTGCTGTTCATCAGATGGGGGGTTTGAAGGCTCCGGGACCGGACGGGTTCCAAGGTATTTTTTATCACTCTTTTTGGGACATTATTGTTGCTGAGGTGAATGGTTTGGTGATGGATTTCATGCAGGGGGAGGGTAACACTCGAAGCCTTAACTCTACTTACATTGTCTTGATTCCTAAGGTCCCTCATCCTGAATCGGTGTCCCAATATCGTCCTATCAGTCTTTGCAACTTCTCGTTTAAGATTCTTTCAAAGGTGTTGGCGAATCGGTTGCAGCCCTTGCTGCCTCTTTTAATCTCGCCTATGCAGAACGCTTTTATTGCGGATCGGAAAATTTAGGAGAACCTTGGGCTTGCTCATGAATTGTTCCATTTTCTGAAGTTGAGGAAATCTCAGCAAAAGTTTGAGATGTGTGTTAAATTAGATATGCAGAAAGCGAATGAGCGGGTCGAATGGGACTTCCTGGAAGCGGTTTTGCTGAAGCTTGGCTTTTGTCGTGGTTGGACTAACCTGGTCATGAACTGTGTTCGCACTGTGCAGTTCGCAATTTTACTGAATGGTCAGCCTGGAAATTGGTTTTCTCCCTCTCGTGGGCTCCGTCAAGGTGACCCTCTCTCTCTGTACTTGTTTCTTATGGTTAGTGATGTTCTTTCTCGTTCAATTCAGAGGGGAGTGGAAGATGGGCGGCTCGGCGGTATCCTCATGCATCCCCGTGGGCCTTGTATCTCGCACTTGTTTTTCGCTGATGATACTTTAATTTGCCTCCAGGTGAATCTGAGAAATGGTGAAAACATTATGCATATCCTCAACAAGTACTGTTTGGCCTCGGGTCAGATGATGAATTCTCATAAGTCTAGTGTGTACTTCGGTCGTAACACTCCTGACCAGGTGAGGTCGCAGCTTGGCTCCTTATTGGGTATGCCGGTGGTGTCCGACCCGGGGGTGTATCTCGGGCTGCCTGCTATTTGGGGAAGATCTAAACGAAGTAGTCTTGCTTTTGTGAAAGGGAGAGTGATGGGTAAGATCCAGGGCTGGAAGCAATCTGCTCTATCTTTTGCGGGGAAAGAAGTTTTATTGAAAACTGTTGTCCAAGCTATTCCTACCTACCCTATGAATCTGTTTAAATTCCCGGCTGCTGTTTGCAAAGACCTTGACTCTATGTCGGCGGGCTTTTTGTGGGGTGACTGTGGTGGGCAAAAGAGGATTCATTGGGTGAATTGGGATACTCTGGGTCGGCCTAAAAGTGAAGGGGGCTTGGGCTTTCGGAATTTCCAGGACTTCAATGATGCGTTGTTAGTTAAACAATGCTGGCGCTTGATGCTTAATCCAAATTCTTTATGGGCTCAGACGTTGAAAGCTAGATACTTCCCTCACTCTTCCTTCTTGGATGCAAAGTTAGGAGGTCGTGCCTCTTGGGCGTGGGCTAGCCTTCTTGTGGGTAGAGACATTCTGAAAAAAGGAGCACACTGGCAGATTCTGAATGGTAAGGATACTCGGCTTTGGGTTGATCGTTGGCTTCCCTCTCTTCCTCTTGGGCATCCTAATCCCGATCCTCCCACTTCTGTTACTCTTACTTCTAAGGTCTCCTCCCTTATTTGCCCGAGGTCCAAGTCTTGGGACATTGATTTTTTACAACCGTTGAAATCAACGCCATTCTTGATATTCCTTTGGGGCATTGTTCTAGTCGGGATAGATTGGTCTGGACGGCGAGTAGAACTGGTATCTATTCGGTCCGGGAGGGTTATCACTGGATCCATTCTTCACGGGGGCAGCTGGGGGTTCCTGATTCTGGTGTCCCAAGTACTTTGGGGACTTCGGTTTGGAAAGCGATTTGGCAGACTAATGCCCCGCCAAAAATTCGCCATTTTTTGTGGCGCGCTGCTAGGGAGGCTTTGGCCACTGTGCGAGGTTTGTTCAAGCGTAGGTCTGCTTCTTCTCCTTTGTGTCCTATCTGTAAATCTTAGGAGGAGTCTGTGCTGCATTTGCTGTTGAGGTGTCCCTGGGTTGAACCTATCTGGTTTGGTGGTCCGCTTGGGCTTCGAAGGGTTGGTGAAGGTGATCCCTCTTTCCATTACTGGCTCAATGCTCTGATCAATAAGACTACTAATCTCCAGGAAAGATCGCGAATTCTCTCAATCATTGCTTTCTCTTGCTGGCACATCTGGAAGGCGAGATGTAATTTTGTCTTTAAGGAGTCGGCCTTAGCCCCATCCCAGGTGCTCCATTCTATCTCTTTCTCCCTGGGGTCTTTTTTGGAGGTGCAGGCTCCCTTGTCCCGTTCCCGCCCCTCCCCCATTCCGGCTCCTAGATGGTCCCCCCCTTCTGCTCCCTATATAAAAGTTAATGTTGATGCTAGCTGGTGTCAGATGGATGGTATGGCACGGTTGGCTGCGATCCTGAGGGATCATAATGGGCTGTTTGTGGCGGCCCACAAGTGGTCTCTTGGTGCTCCGTCCGTGGTGTTCGCTGAAGCTTTGGCGATGCTGAAGGGCTGTGAGTTAGCGGCGGAGTTGGGCTGTAGATGGATTGTAGCTGAATCGGACTCGCTTGAGGTGGTCTCGTCTTTGCAGGGTGATATTGCTCGGGGCAGCTGGGAAGTGTTCCCCATCCTGGATTCTATTTTGAGGTTGCGGAATTCTTTCCAGGGCTGTCGCTGGTCTTGGGTCCCAAGACTGGCCAATCGGTCGGCGGACTTTCTGGCGTCGAGGTCTAATGTGGAGATGAGCGGTATTACTTGGGTCAGGAGACCCCCATCTTCCATGGTGCACATTCTTAACAAAGATGGTCTATTTTGCCCTCCGTGATTGGTTTTTTTGGGTTTGGGCGTGTGTTGGGACGACGTCTCACCTTTGTGGTAGCGTCTTTGTATTGCTGTTATCCCTCACACGACCCTTTGTTTGTTTTGCGGTGCTTGCTCTTGTGTGGGCTGTCTGTATTCTGTTGGCCTCTGGTCTTTCGGAATGGTTGTTTTTTAGTTCAAAAAAAAAAAAAAAAAAAAAAGATGAAGATGAGTTTCAGCCTTCAGGACTCGAAGTGAAAAATTGGATGATAGTCTAGTAACCTAGTTGAACTAATTAAAAGTTTAAAATATAACATGCGGTTTCGGTGCGGTTTTGAAAATCCAAAACCGAAACCAAACTGTTTTCTTTGTTGCGGTTCGGTTTCGAGACCGAAACCGTTTCAAAACCGCAAAACCAAACCGTTCGGTGCGTAATTCGATTCATGTTTCGGTTTCGATTTTCGGTTTCAGGTACCCACCCTTACTACAGACACACATCGAATAAGGAGTAGTTCTGCTTTACAAGCTAGATGCAACTATGAGCAATGACGGAAACCCCTTCAGCATACTCTACTACATGTTTAAGTTTCAAATACAGTAGTGTGTGCTTCTGTCGGACGAAAACTTGATGCACCGTGAAACTCTTGCTCTGACAGACATATTTTTTTGTTTTTATTGATAATAAGTCTTTTATACGACGTTTTTATAACATAAAATATTGTCAACAACAATTGTAACTTGATTTTATTGCTAAATTATGAACAATATCAACATTGTCTGCTGCCTAAAATGATTTTGGTTGTTTATTTATTTAGTTTTTGTATGTCACTCTGTGCTTTATTTGGGGGTTCATTAATAAATCATGTCCCAATTCTAATTTAGGGCTGAAAGAGAAACGAAAATATTTTAGGAGGTGAATGGGATAACATGGGTGAGTACATAATTATTTGGTACATGAGTAAAATGAGATTAAATGTAGAGCATACAGTAAAATAAAAATATAGCATATTTTTATTTAGTACATCGATATTTTTACACTAAAAGAAGAGGGAGTTCGTCTAAGCAACACAATGAGCAGCCTAATTTGGTATCGAATTTACCATCTATGAGATTTGAACTTAAAACATCTCATTTCCAAGTGAAGATGAATACCACTGGATCATAATACTGAATGATTTCTCTTGCATCTATGGAACGGTTAGCTTATGATAAAATCGCACAATTGAAGCCGGAACCCTAAAATAAGGGACAAATATTATATTATTGTTTTAATTTGTATTTTTGTTCTACTTTAGGAAGAAATCTTCATTAAGTCCAAACGTCGACTTTAATCTTCTACTGATTCCGTCGGTCCGTACGGAGACACTGACAGAGCCAGCCAACTGATCACCTGACGATACAGAAACAGATCTTAACGGTGGTATTCGACTCTTCCCTCCGAATCACTTAATCGCCACCGTCCGATCTCCTCCACATTTTCCTTCAGATCCAACTCTCCGGCCGCCCATCTCCTCCCTGATCTCCTCTCGATAATTGTACTTCCTTCGCAATTTCAAGGTGCATAATCCTCTCTTCCCCTCATTTTTATGTCAAAATATGAACTCATTTCATTAATTTGGTTCTCAGTTTACCCCATTGATTGAATTGTCTGTTTGTTGACTTATGGATGAATGTGGACATTTTTGTTTGCTGAGGTTTTCGAGAGAGAGAGATTGGAAATTCAATCTTCATCTCAGGTGAATTATGATGGATTTGTTTTGGAATTCAGAAATGCGAAATGGGCAATTGCAATTTTGTCACAGGATTGAGTCTTAGTCCTTTTCTTTTGATTGGGGTTACAAACAAAGATTATGTCATGCTTAATGGTAACTGAATTCATTAAGTATTCAAATTCAGAGTTCGATAAATTCTTCATATGAACCGAATTTGTTCGATGTTTCTGTTAACTAAATCGAGAAAAACAAGACATAAAGGAAGCAGATTAGTTGCAGCTTAGCAGTTTTTTTCGGATGCAGAGTGTTAGCTCAGACCCTGCGTAAAGCGGGAGCCTTGTGCACTGGGTACGACCTTTTTTAGAGTGTTAGCTCAGATCATTAATCTCTTTCTTGGTGTTTCGAAATGCTTCACATTCCTTTTCCTTTTCATACTGTTTAATGAGAAATGGAATTGGATTAATTTTAGAAAACAGTGCGATAGGATATTACTGAGGACAAGGTGGGCACTGAAGCGAATCGGAAGGCTGGTAAAGGAGCCCTCTAATCTTGGGAAGATGGCAAGCAAGTAAAGGATTTTAAATAGAAAATGAAAAATAAACCTGCAAACTGTGATAGATCTTTGTTGTTCGTTATCAAACCATTGTAATTGCTTTGCATCATTCTTTCCACAGTTGTACTCTGGGTTTCGCAGGATTTATTTATTTATTTATTTCATCTAGTACTAGTCATTTTTATGTTGCACTTTTCAAATTGCTCTGCTATTTCACTAGCTAGCTACATTATAGCTGATTCCTTCCGGTAGACTACAATTTCAAGCGGGTTTTTATCATAGTAGTTCTGAAATGATACATATTGGTGATTTTTTTGTTTGTTTATGCTCTCAAACAGGGACTCTGTTTATCCTGAAATGTTGGTGGAAGTAATGTCTGTTTATTTTGCTAGTTCTTTACTCTTTTGGTCATTTAATATTTTAATATTTTAAAGCGAAGCTAAATCAATTGGTTCACCTGCAGACAGCTTCTATGGGAAACAAAGGGATTGTGAAAAATGTTGATACCAGCAGTTGGCAAACAGATTTGGCCTGTGACCAGTGGATAGCACTCCCTGTTTCTGGTCCACGACCACCAGCTCGCTATAAGGTACGCATATATTTTTATTTTAGATAAGCTTAGATTAAAACCAAAGAGAAATGTCTTGTTAGGTTCACATTTGTTCTCCTTTTGTGATTCCTAAAGTGATTTTGTTGTTATAGTAAGTGCAAAATCAAACTCTTTGTTTATATTTTTGTTTTTTGTTTTTTTTTAATACATACGATATTATCTACAATAAGGGGTGGGGGAGCGGGCTAAGGCTCAAAATGGGCTAGCCATAATTATTTGGTTCGAATTCGCCTTTGGCGAGAATTGAACCTAAGACCTCTCACTTACACATGAAGAGGAATACCACTAGAACGTAGTACTAAGTGGCTGAAAAATACTTTTTGTTTATATTTAATGAAATACTTTCATTATCTATCAGCAATATTTTCTTATATTTTTTCAAGAAAAGGAAATTGATCAACCAAATACTTACCATGCTATTTCTATTTTAACTGTAGCATGCTGCTGTAGTAGTGGATGAAAAATTATACATTGTTGGTGGGAGTCGTAATGGTCGGCACCTATCTGATGTTCAGGTATTGTACGTGCTCATGTACTTTTTGACTTTGAGGTTCTTTTTTGTGTAACGTATGTAGTACTGGACTCTTCTTGCAGGTCTTTGACTTTAGAAATTTGTTGTGGTCTAAAATTAAACTGAAACCCAATTCCAATAAATTTGAAGACAGCGGCTTACAGGAAGTTCTTCCAGGAATTTCTGCTCACAATATGGTAAAATTTCATGAGACCAGTAAATCTTTGTGTTTATGCATGCATATTATTTGTTTATATATGTCCAATTTGCTTGTTGTCTTGGCTTTCGTCCCTTTCATTTATGATTCGACATGGTTTTCATTATCCAGCTGAACACTTTTGTCTATATCTTGGCAGGTTAGGTGGGGAGACAAACTTCTTCTTCTTGGTGGGAATTCGAAGAAATCGTCTGATAGTATAATAGGTTTGTTACTAGAACAACCATCTTGTTAGTTCATGGACAATGTAGATCTATCATGAGACATATGATAGTGCACTTTAATTGGTGTTTAAAACCTTTTGCAATGTTAATGGACTTGTAGTTTGGTTCATCGATTTGGAAACGCACCACTGTGGCATCATTGAGACCTCAGGAAATGTACCGGTATGATGGCTGAATCCTTGTTTTTCCTTGTGCTTTGTGCTTTCAACTGTTTAATTAACCTGTTTGGTATGCATGCATCCAAGTAATTTCAGGATGGAAAACTGATATTAGCCCACTCGCTGCAATGGGGTTTCCACATATGATATACCTTTTCTAATATTGTTACCCTAATATGTTTGATCCATTGTTCTGTGGTTATTTAACCTGTTTGGTATGCATGCAAATTATTATTCAGGTAGCTCGTGGGGGGCAGTCCATGACATTGGTCGGTTCTAGACTGATAATGTTCGGTGGAGAAGACAGGACCAGAAGATTGTTGAATGATGTTAATGTTCTTGATCTAGAGACAATGACTTGGGATGTGATGAAAGTAACGTAAGTATCCATACACTTTTATTTTGAAACTTTTGTGCCAGGCTTTTAGAAGAGTTCTGCATTACTTTCTTATGTTATGATAGGCAGACACCTCCAGCTCCTAGATTCGATCACGCAGCTGCAGTAAATGCTGAACGCTACCTTCTAATTTTTGGTGGTTGTTCTCATGCTACTTTCTTCAATGATCTTCATGTACTTGACTTGGAAGCAGTAAGTGCTTTACTGATTACATCAGATCTAGTCTACAAATTCTGCAGTCTGTTCAAATACACACGACATAGATGTGCATTACTTAAATGATTTAATTTATTAATATACTGTTTAAAAGATGATTTCTGAGCTAGAAGCGTACTGAAGTTGGAAAACTTACGCAGAAGAATATAGTTGGAATTAATATGTTCTTTTGTAATGAAGGCAACAACTATTATCAACAAATATGAGTTTCTGAGAACATATTTCATTTTATATTTATAATCTTTCACATTTTTAGATTTATACCAAAAATGCTATTCATTGTAAGAGCTCCTTTTTGTACATTAATGAGTATCTCCTGTTTTTTACTTCCATCCTGCTGTATACCTAGAGGCCTCAATTGCGTGAGCTAGGAACTTCTTTATTTGTTTTATTTTTTATTTTAAATTCTTTTATTGTTTGTATTTGT